GAATATTCATTATATTAGACTATGAAGTGTCTTCCCTATAGCATCCCGTTATGTGTTTGTTATAGTTGCTCTTCATATTTCTCGAAATGTAGAAGTTAAACTGTTTTTATTTGTAGGTTTACTTCACAGTTTATGGTCAACTGAAAGGCCTTTTCCTTTCACAAGGTAAATATTATGCAAATGTTGAGCACTACACACAGGCATTGTGTCTTCATTTGAATTTCTTAAATGCTGACTACTAAATTATGTGATTTATTTCAATCAAGCTTTCTTTTCCAGTTTGGTTTTATTTTTATAACATTCTTCATTGGTAGTACTGCAGCAGATAGTTGCCGCCAATTATCAAGTGTTGAAAATATGGTAGCTGCTGCCGGTGCTGGGGCAGCAACAGCAATTTCAACAAATCCATTGTGGGTTGTTAAGACCAGACTTCAAGTAAGTATATGCTTCTCATGCCTGTAAATGTAATTGCAGTTAAAATATATAAAAAGAAGCCTATGATTTTGAGCTCACAATCACTGCTTCTCAATCTTTCATGCACATGTCCCCTATATCTTATTTCTTTGAATTTAATTTTAAGCTCCTTGGCTGCACCTGTAGTATTTTCTTTCCCAACTAAATGGTTAGGCTTGAAAATCTGTTTATGCTCTAATTTCTAGCTGTTTAATGGTTTAATATTTTGGAGTTAAATTATGTATCTACCCTTTGCCTGTAAGTCTTTCAGTTTCAATGAAATTGTTTATCATAAATTCTTATTCTTTTAAATCTATATATTCATTGCTACATGCTAGGATTGCCATATCTTCAGTAACAGCCAAGTTTTATCATGATTCTTTTTAATTCCAAAGATAGTTTGGTTTAGCAGTAACCCTTCTTCTTATATATTAAGATAATGAAGGAAAAGTGGGTTGTAAAAGCACGATGCAAAGCCTTGAAAATTATCCTCATATGAGAAATCATTGGTGATTAAAATCATTCCTGCAAAACCTTCATCTAGCCAAGAAATTAGAAATTCTACTGAGGGAAGTAGATGAAAATATCAAAGTAGTGTAGTTCAAGATTGCTTTTGGCCAATTCCTCGATTTTCCCTTTTCTTCATTTTGCTTATATGTACATTGGGTCGTTTTTTCCCCTTGGAAAAACAAAAAAAAATAAAATAAAATCTAAGCCATTACTTCAGGATGGACTTTGGAAACAGAATCTTCATATGCGTCGTGCAATCAATGGCTTAGCTTTCTTACTCCTTTTTACCTAACATCATTTTGAAAATGGTTTTTTTTATTGCTATTTTGGGCATTGATTGATTCTTTTTTTCCCCCAAAAACACATCAGACGCAAGGAATGAGGTCTGACGTTGTTCCGTACAAAAGCATTCTTTCTGCTTTGACGAGGATAATGCACGAGGAAGGCATACGAGGGCTGTATAGGTAAGTTTTTCAGTTGTAGTTGTCTTCTTGTCTTTTTTCTTGGTTAAATTAGAGGGGCTGGCACTAATGGCCCGTTACACAAGTGGGACAATCCTACAACCTCCAACTTGTAATATTTACTATTTAGCTTGATGAAGTAATGTTTGCTTATATTACATTCTTTTCCTTTAAAAAAATGTAATGAATCTTATTTTGATTAGCTAAACATAATGAATACTATTTTTATTAACCGCATGCTTATGAAGATCTGATCAATTGTACTATCTAATAAAAAATAAATGTCTGGGGATCTTCTAGAGCCTTTGGCTGCTAAGTATCCTCGTTTGGTACATCTGTTCATGGGGAAAGAAGACAGTAAATTAAGTGTTATTTAAAATTAGATAAATGTGTAAAAAATTAACAGTGAAGCATAAACTATGCATGTTTGCTGATAATTTTTCGTTGTTGTGCACATTATCTCTTTGATCTGTCTCCCGCATACCAATCTAAGTTCATAGATGTATACAGACTGCCCTGCTCATGGTATACTGGAGAGTGAATTGATGGAGTTTCTATATTGTCACTTTCCTCTCAATTTGGTCCTCCAATTGTAAAGCCTCACAACTTAGTCTCCCAAAAAGTTTTCTCCCAATCAAAATGACCCTTCCATCGAGCAAACTTTAAAGACTTGCTGATGTGGCACTAATGGGAGCGTAAGATGATGTTAACTAATGAACCGAGCTTGCTTGGTGGCATGTCCCTCAAAAAGACACCGTTAGGCAAATTTTATAAAGCTAAGACGCCGTCAGTGTGATGCCACTTTTGGGAAATGCCACTCAGCAAGTGTCGATGGCCATATAGGTTTCTGTTAATGCTACATCAGCAAGTCTGTTAAATGAACACGAGCTTTGTCTATTAGATGGCCCATTTTGATCGGGTAAAAAGCCTTTGGACGACTGTCAGTAACTTGTCCTGACTTGGTCGGATGTCAAAATAAACTCTGCACTGATATTGAAACCAAAAGCACCCTATGGACAGAAAATATCTACAACAAGACTCCCCAAAACTCAGATATCATAGCTCATAGTATTACTGCTACAGATAAACATAGTATTATCGCTACAGATAAAAGACTTGATAGCACAAAAGCTACAAGCATGGCGCACGCACACAGAAATTTTCTCAACACAATAACATAAAGAGAAAGGCAGTTACTTCCTCTCCCTTCTGGACCGTTCACTAAAACGTTCTTCCCCATCAATCCATGTGACCCCTTTAAATTCTCCATTTCCTGCACGACAAGTGTCCTCCTTGTCTATTCTTCCAACTACTCTTTTGGACCTCTGGTGCCCATGCTATTTATTGATTCATTAATGTCAACCCCTTTTATGTCTAATAGCCATGTGCTATTGATATTAGGTGGGGATTTCAGTTGAGCTTGAGAATGAATCCTATTGAGATGCTTTGCTTTTGGAGGACCAGAAATTTAGAGAGTAACTTTTGAAGGATGAAATCGTTCATTTACCCTAGAGTAAACACAATTCAAGCAAAATAAAGTAAAATACGCTAGATGAGCTGGGCCTACCTCTTTCTGGAGTCAGTGATAGTTTGTTCTTGTGAAACAGTGGCATAGTGCCTTCCTTGGCTGGTGTAAGTCATGTTGCTATTCAATTCCCAGCATATGAAAAGATCAAGTCATACATGGCGGAAAAGGGTAATTTCGATGACACAGATTTATCTACATATTCCTCTAAACTTGGAGCAAATGAATCTCTCTTTCTGAAGCATAGCTGATTAAGTGAAAATTTCAAATACTTCAGATGATACAACTGTTGACAAACTGGGCCCCGGAAAGGTTGCCATTGCATCCTCAATTGCAAAAGTAATTGCCTCTGTAATGACTTATCCACATGAGGTATGCTAAGCCTGGCTAAATTGATATGCAAAACAATTGTTGGATCTCCATCTGCAGTAGCTCTGTAGTTTTAAAGTTTTTATTTTTTTTCCCTCTTAATGTCAATTTCCCAGGTGATTCGTGCGAGGCTGCAGGAGCAAGGCCAGGCCAAAAGTGCCGGGGTCCAGTATGCTGGGCTTGTTGATTGTTCTAGGAAGGTGTTCCATACTGAAGGCCTTCCCGGCTTCTATCGGGGTTGTGCGACAAATTTACTAAGAACAACTCCATCAGCTGTAATTACATTCACCAGCTTTGAGATGATACAGAGGTTTCTGCAACGTGTTGTACCTCAGGACATGGGATACTCACAAGGGTCTCGTAAACCAGATGACCTTAGCAAGCCGCAGCCAAACAACAGTGACAAAAAATTCGAAGACAACACAGGGTGGAGGCAATCACCGTCTGAGTCTAATAAGACAGCTTTAAATAAAGAGCAGCTATCTAGACACGGATAGGGGAGTTATGTTATTTTCTGTAGTCTCCTTTTCGTTTTTATTTTATTCATTTTTTTATTTATAATAAGTTGGGGTCACCCCTGAAATTTCTTCTCTGGGATGCAAATGCTTGATTCAACATGAGTGTGCAGGGTGTTGACCCAAAAACAGGGTGTTGAATAAAATAAGGCCATTCTGAAACGCAAAATGGATGGGGTTGGATTTCTTTCTTCTATTCTTAAACCTGATTTTGCTTTGCGCTAGTGAACGTCACAGAAAAGAAGAAAATTCATCTCACAAACTCAGAACTTCAGGAATCTTCAAATTTAGAAGATCCCTGTTTAATATTACATATGTCATTGGAAAAATTGCAAAACAAGACCGTCAAAATAGGAAAATTGCAAATCAGGACCTGTTACAATAATAGTATGGGTTTTGACAACAATGTTTATGACTTGGTCTTTGCATGCAATTTTTTAATTTTAATGGTCTTTTTTTTTTGTGATTTTCCCTATATCATTTCCTACAATAGAAAAAGTTTTTATTCTTGCCAAAATTTATAAGAGGCTTGATGAGTTGTGAAGAAAATAGGCTGAAGCATCTTGACTTCTAAATTTGTTTTCCATCAACTCCCATGTCACAAAATATTCTTAGTGCAATTTGTGCATGAGAAGTAGAAAGATTTAACCTCAATTATACAAGTCAAACTTCCATGATGGCACCTGGCATGTTGCTTGTTATGGAAGTCATCTCCAACCTTTGGCCAAAAAATGAAGCCTAAAAACAAGCAGTTATGACAAATAACAACAGTCACAAGAAGAAAAAGTTGAACTTCTCATTCTTGGTAATGAATACAATAAGAATTTTAATTTAATTTTTTTCAAAATTTATTTTAAAATATAATATCTTATTATTAAATCAATTCTTGTACTGTCAAGGGATATTTAAAGAAGAAATAGATCAATTTCTAAATAAAAACAAAGAAATTAAGTACAGATGTGGACCTTTTTATTTAAGCAATGAAATATTCCGATGGAGAATATGTTACATACATATCATCTTCATAACAAAAAAGTTAATAATTGATAAAGCGAGAACAAGCTGATTACTCGTGATTTTGTGAATACTGAAATTAATCTTCACTGTATCGTAATTCGTAAACATGATCCAGTGACCCACATAAGTGTTTACAGATCCGTCAAATTTTTATTGCTCGAAGACAGTATCAAGCCCAGGGCGCCAACCTCTCTTCAGCAACAACCGGATTCGAAAGCCCCTCCAAACTGATTTGGGTGACCCGGGTCCATTGCTCCATATAACCGGGCCGCCAAGACCAACCACCGTCCCCACGGAGTCTGACACTCTGATCGGAATATCCTCCCTGGTTTCTTCTTTTGGCGGCGAGGACACGAAGAGTTCCTTCAAAGAGTGCCGCCGCATCAGTTCCTTGCGTTTCTCCTTCTTCTTTACCTCCGACACACCAAACAGAAGATTCTTCTCAATCGGTGAATTTCGCCGCCTTGGTGACTGGCGGCCTGTGTTGCGGTTTAGCAGCATCCGCAGAGTGGTTTTCCGCCGGCGGAATTGAACCATCGGGCTTGTCCTGGGGCTTCGTGTCGGGCTCCGAGTCATGCCACACTGCGTCGCTAGAAGCTTGAATTTCTGAAGCGTCGCCATTTCCAGGTGAGTCTTCTCTCACTCTCACACACTCTCTCTCTCTCTGAGTGCGAGTCTGAGTACGTGGCTTGAATGTTTAAAGGCTCTCTTAAACGTACTTGTTTGAGTTTCAGTGACTTTGAATTTGAATTGAGTGATGATTGTAAAGGGAACAAGGGGAATTATGAGTTCAAGGTTGGGAGGCAGAGCGTGATCGGTTTTGGAAATGGTTTGCTTTGATCTTTTTCCTTTTCATCCCATGACACAATTGATGGATTGCTTCTCTTTCTTTCTTTACAATTTCAAACAGAGGACAGATATTCAATCATCAATGGTTTGTCCAAAGATCTCAGAAAAGGACTTTATGACTTTTTCCGAATGCGAAACAGAAAATCGAAAAAAGTCTCACACTCCCTCGCAGCTATTCGTTCTCCATCTTACTCCTTGAATATAAAAGAAATCCATCAGTAATAAGTTTTCATTGTGAAGTCAAAATGAAAAAAAATTAAATAAAACATTGGTTAACTGTCAATGTCATCGGGGAAAAAAAAACAGCTGTCTTTTTATTCTTCTTGCCAAAATCTAATGCCACAGGACATTTTTACCGAATCTGGCCATTTATATGAAGAAAACCAAACTATAACAAATTCCATGTATATGGATCAAGGCAGCTCATTCCCATAATTTGTCGCCCCATGTTAAATCAGATTAGACCAAAGTGTAATTTTTAAATATTCTATTAATTAATAAAATTTTAATAAAGTCATGGGAAGGAGAGCAGAAAACAGAGAACTACAGAAAGAGATATTGATGATATGAGGTTAATTGGTCAAGAGAATAAGGATCCACAGTTGCTCAGGCACATGTAGGTTTCATGCGGTAAGAGCTCGTTTAGAATCACATTCACGAATAAACACGTACAAGTGGAGATAAATTTCAACTAACCCGTTTGGTAGCATGGAAATGGGCATATTCAAGAATAAATTTCGTATTCCGTATAAAAAGTTATTTATAAATCATTCAAACGGGCTCTAATTTGGATTGCGTTTGTTTGATCTCCATGCCTTGTCTGAGGCACAGCATGATTATGAAGAACCCTCGTTTTCAGAAACAGTGCACGTTAGTGATATGCATTTCAACTAAAAAAGATGAACTTTTTTTTTTTAAAAACTAACCCGTCTGGTAGCATGGAATTGGGCATATGGAAATGAAAATGGAATTCAAATCCATGCTTTAAGCATGTTGGGAACTGGGCAGTGTGAGGGAACTTTACTGTAGTAAGCAGTGACAAAGCCTCCATTTCCAAGTTTTATGGCATAGTCAAAACAGGGGGGAAGGACGAGATCTGTTTTCTGAATGGTTTTCTGTGTCCTTTTTCTTGTTCACCAGGACACAATTGATGGGCTGATTCTCTTTCTTTCTTTGAATTCAATCATCATTTTTAAAAGACTTTATGGCTTTTTTCCATTTGTAAGACTGAAAAACAAAAAAGCCTCGGATCTTTCGTTTTCTGTGTAACTGCTTGAATATCCTTAAATGATGATGTAAAAACAAACCAGCAGCTATAAAAAAGACAGGAAAAATCGTTGCGGACCATAATCAACTTTTACTGACTATTGCATGCGAAAAACCAGCTCTTATAGTTTGCAAACTCTGCTTTTTATGTTTTTCCTTTTATATTTACATCCCCGTACCATGTCATCACTATTATGTGGTGTAAAAGATAAGCCATTATCTAATTACTGACGCTACATGTTAACCCACTGTGCCACTTAGCAGTGACGTCTTTTGTTGAAGGAAGTGACTATATATTTTTCAACAACATAGCCTCTTCGTTGTCCGGTGAAGGAGGAGACGGGTGATGTTCCATACCACTATGGAAAGTCCCCGTTACCCCATGATTAGTCACTTCTTCTGGACAACTGAGTTCCTCCTTCCCCCTCTCAGTTCTTGTTAGTATCTCCAGAACCTCATCCATAGGAGGTCTCAATTCCTTGTCTGCAACAATATTGAAATGATGAGAATTTGAAATAAGAACACCAGAGAAGGAAGACACTTTGAATTTGACATAGCAGTGATTGATGATAAACAGAATCTTTAAAACGCTAGTATGAACATTACTTCCCAGCCCAAACCAGGGTCCCATTTGAATAGCCTACTCCCAGTCTCTGCAGTTAAACTTGAGAGAAGAAATCATTACCCGGGTCTCGGCGTCAAATTTGTAAATACTGACTGACTGGAGTGCAGATAACTAAAACGTCCAAAATTCTAATCATCTAGCTAGGATATAAAATTCTTGGTCAAAAAAGAAAAAGCTAAGATGAAAATTTTTTAGCATAACTATAGATCCGATATTTGGGTAATGGAATGGAAAGCATATATAAAAGGGAGGTTGCTGCTGTGTGCGTGTGTGTGTGTATACCTATGTGGCAGTAGAAGTTATTGTTGTTGTCAACTCGACATTGGCCTCCCTTGTGGTTGTAACACTCGTAAGAGTCATTAGATACTTGTACTTCAATATCTATTTCACCGCATGAGAATGATGAAAAATCTGTGATACATGTCAGGTTTTTACAAGGAAGCTGAAGAATGGAGCAAGCATTAAAAGAGATTTGTTGCTGGTCACGGGTAGGAGGAGGAGGAGGAGGCATGTGTAAGTTGCGACAAAAGACATCAAGGTCAGGACAGGCATGATTGTTGAAACCAGCAGGGCGGCTGATGCATTGGGGAGGTCGTGGTTGCGTCTAAACTGGTTTACGTTGTTTTTTACATGAAAGGGAGCCGAAGGAGAATTTATTAGAGGAAGAGGCATGTTAGTATTGAAAACTCCTGAGGTTCTATACTGTTCTAGGTTATAAACTGTGATGAGTTTCTCCTGCTGAACCACATTTCTAAGAAGAAATATTTTTCCATTTTTCCCCAGTCGAATCGTTTTGGTTGACGGTGGATCAGCTCGTTGTGGACTCGAGACCATACGAGCTGGTTTTAGACTGTCTCGTGACAGGCTCATATTTGGCCAATCTGCCTGTTAAAAGGTCGGTTGGTGGGTCTCCATTTTTTAAAAAATTTTTTTATACATATATTTAAAATTTTTTAGATTAAGTTATAAATTTTTATAAACCAAATTCTTCTTATAATTATATGTTCATATAATTATATAATTAAATTAATCTCAAAGGTTGAATATAAAATGCTAATAATTATTTTATTGGTATAAAAATGGTAAAACAATAAAAAAATGAGCAATCAAATTTAGAATCAAAATCTCTAATAAAATACAAAGTTATATATAAATAAGTGAAAATGATAAAAAATTTTTTATCAAAATTAAATAAAAATTGTGAGAAAATTTAAAAAAAGGTGGCGGGTTAGTCTGCTGTAGGCTGTTGGTTTTTTCAGCCCGTATCAAAATGAATTTTATTTTCTTCAACCTAACTTATCACCTTATGGGGGGCTGGCAAGTTGAGCCTGTGGACTCAACTCATATTAACCGCTCTAATCACAACCATGTATTGCCATAAAGCCACAGTGTCTCAGTTCTGGCTCGGCGAGAGGGAAGTGGGGGCTCCCAAATTGTCCACAATTAAACGATGAGGGACACTTGTCAGGCTTCCCACTTTTATACAACTGAGAGAAGAAACAAGAGGAAGGGAAACACGCAAACGAAGTCAATTCCCCGCCAAGAGACTATAAACTGGGACACGAACCTGATTCTGACTATGGTTGAACTTTCTCCCAGTATATCACATCCTCGAACTGTTTCATACGCGCTATGGTTTGGAATATGACTGGAAGAATTGGATGAAATGGGCTTGCGAGAAAATGAAGGGGAAGGCAGTCCTGTGACATTTAAGGCTTGTTTGGGACAGCATTCAAAAATACTTATAAATACGTTTTATGTAAGTTAAGATAAAACTCCTCTTATATATTTACTTTATATTCCAAACGAGTCATTAGTTTGAATTTACGTAGACCTTTTGTTCCAGTGAAGGAGCATGACCAATTTTTCATCTTAGTTTCCCCTAATGAATTCATCAGAAAGACTATTTGTTGAATTCCTGACGTGTGAGTCACGCATTTTTCAAGTCAATGCTCAAAGTTTAAACTAGTTTTGTGAATTGTTGTTGGGCCTGTTTAGAATGATTTATAAGTAACTTTTCAAACGTGATTTACAGAATATGAGGTAAGTTGCAAAAAATTTTATCTTAACTTATAAAAAATATGTTTATAAGTTATTTCAATTGTAATACCAAATAAGGCCATCAAACCATCTAAGACTACAAAAGAAAAGGGAGAGAGTGATTTCTTCTTTTTCACTTGTGGCCCAGGTGTGACCCGGTTCAACAATGGATCAGTCTGGCTCAGGCACAAAACGGGTCCAAGGTCTTTTTCCATGAAATAAATGTTGATACCGAGGCTCATCATATCTCGTTGTAATACGTTTTTTCCCAAGATTTATGCAATATAAATGATCAGAGCTATAAGGGTTAATCCAGGAGAAAAGATAAAAGTAATATATAAATCTAAATTAAAGATATCTATTTTTTATTTCAAAATTCAACAATGATGAATTTGGATACACAATCATCTCAAAATGAGCCATTATACCCTAGAAATTGATTCTCTAATGTAACTTTCTATTTTTAATTATTATACGAGAAAGCTTTTCTCCAATATGTCCCCTCGTCTTGAACCATTTGATACGAAACCTGAGCTGAAAAATGAAGGGGGAAGACTTGGTCAAAGACGCTTGAGAGAAACATTATGACGTGGGGAAGCCTTGTGACACAAGACACATACATGTCTGGTCCTTACTTGGCCATTGTTTCAAGTTTCTCCATCTCAAATTCAAACCTCCCCTTCGTTCACGTTAAGATCTTTGAATCCACAATTAATCTTTCTGAAGAAAATTAATCATCTGGTCCTTAATATAAAATTTATTTAACTAATTGATTAGATTAAGAAAGTTAGGTAAGTTAGTTAATTATAAAAAATATTATATATTTT